CTTGGTTTTCTCTCTTTCCATTGCTAAAAGTGAGCACTGTATATGCTCTTTTCTAATTGTCTGGGACCTCACCTGACCTCCAGGAGTTTTCAAAGCAAGCAGCCGATTTCCTCTGCAGTTCCTTCCACAAGTTCCCCGAGTACACCAGGATGAATTACACATGGATTAGAAAACATCCAGCTTATCTACGTGATTTGTAATGTGTTCTTCCCCTGCTCGAGGCTGAGGACTTGCACTCTGTCCTTGAAGCTACTTGTGCTGGTCATCTGACAGGTGACAGAAGAGCTCACGGTTCAGCCTAGCTGGCCTCTTGCTATTCTTCCAATCCTTCCTTTGCATTGGGCTAATATGTTCTTGTCCCAATAGTCGTGTGCCCATAATATTGTCTCTTTAAGGAACAACCAAGTCCCCTGCACTTGTATCCATGACTCCTGCTTCTTATGAGATTCTGCCTACTAATTTTCTGAGTTTGTTAAAATCTATTTGTCTGAAGGCCAAAGTTTTAGCTTGCTGTTCTCCTTTCTCCCCTCCCTTAGGCTCATGAACGCAACCATTTCATGCTCAGTCATTATGTCACCTTCTACCTTCAGGCTCCCAACCAATTCCTCCCTATTAAGCAGCAATTTGAAAACACAGGCCTAAAACCGGCTTCCTGGGCTACTGATTCTAGTCCCCTGCATTTGCAAGCCATCATTTATCCCTCAATTCCCCAGAATCTCTGCTTCAAATCCTCACAGACAAGATATCAAATACCTGAAACACCAAGAACAGCATACAGCACACAGCATTGCCAAAGGTGAAAGGAGGAACACAAGGGCACTGCTAATGCCCAGTCATTGCAGTAACAGGAGAGGACTTTGTACTGGAAAACATCCTAGGCAAAGGACCTGACCTGCACTACGGAGGAAGGCAAAACCCCCAATTATCATTGCCAGTATGATCTAGGGAAACACTCCTCCCTGAACCCAAACCTGGCTCTCAGTTTAACCCAGAGCAGAAGAACATGACCCTTAGGCAGGAACCTCTGTTTTTTTTCTAAGCATCAGTAGGCACATCCTCATTCTCCAGTCAAAACCCTCTGCCCTAGCTGTGGCCAATGTCCCAGTGCTTCAGAAGGAATACAACCTCCAGAATAAAACAAGACTTTTTCATGAATCATGATAAGAGAAAATTCGTTCCCAACTGCTACTGGCAACTACCAGAAGCCTTGAAACATGGGATTACTCAACACCTACCATGCTGCTGGGATAGAGATGTCCCTCAAAATCCCAGCAAAGGGACTGCAAATAAATTATTCCACAGACTGTGCGCACTGATCAAGGAGTCAGAGCTCCCAGTCCCATCACAGCTGCCTTGTCATAAAAAAATTACACAGATCAGTCATAAAACAATTCAGTTCTTTGCCTCCACCAGCAGTTTTCTCCACCCTGTGACAAAAACTGTCTCCAGCACACTCCAACACAGGGGTGGGCAATTTTTGGGTCCACGGACCACATAGGGAGTTTTAGTGAGCTGTTGCGGGCTGGGTCAGCATCACGCCCCCCTACACACTGCCCCACCACACACAACAGTTTACCAAAACTCCTTAAGTGACTCTGCTTTGTGCTCAGCCAGGCAGCTGGGAATGGGACAGGGTGGGCAGGTGAGACCAAGCCTGAGATCAAGGGGCGGTGACAATGCAGGGCCAGGGTGATCCACAGGGTGATCCACGGGCGCTGGTTGTGTGGGCAGGGGCATGTGGGTAGTGGATCATGGTTCTGCCCCAGCCTCAGCCTCACGCTGTCACCACCCTGAGATCCTGGCCTTGCCTACCTGTCCCTCTCCCCACCCGCCTGTTGCCCCATCTCGACCACCCGACTGCATGCCCTGCCCATGTGGGTCATGCCTCGGGTGGGTACAGGGCAGATAGGCCAGGGTCCCTGGGCAGTGGGGCCAGGTTTGATGGCAGCAGAAGCAAGAAGGAGCTGCCATTGCCGGGGCTACAAGCAAACAAGCCCAGCCGTGCTGCCCTAGCCCCACTGTCCACCCATGCCACAGCCCAGGCAGCTCCTTGCACCTGGCCTGGGCAGGCCCAAGAGACCCACTGCCAGTTGGGCAAAATCCCTTGGTAGACCAGATCCAGCCTGTGGGCCGCATATTGCTCACTCCTGCTTTAACATCTCGAGGGCCAGTCTGTGCACTGTTGCTACCTTCCCAGCAGACAACACAGCAGTCAAGATCACCATAACCACCAGGTCCCAGGATTTGGATGCTTTAGATTATATATTTAAAAAGCTCAGCTCCTCTTCCCAGTGCGATTCATGGATTCATACACGCTAGAGTCAGAAGGGACCTTGAAGGATCATCGAGTCCGACCCCCTGCCAGGGGCAGGAAAACGTGCTGGGGTCTTGTGACGCCAGCCACGTGCTTGTCTACCACAAGTACCCCCGACATTGCCCTTTCTGATTTTCCTCTGATCTCACACCAGGGACTACCAAATACAACCATGACCCACTTCATACAAGAACTCAGAACAAACCCATACGTCTTCAATATACATGGAAGCACTTCCTTCCTTTTTCCCTGCATGTCCTTCCTGAATCCATATCCATATTCCAGTCATATGAGCCATCCCACCAAGTCTGTTATTCCAGTCATGCAATAAAATTGGGCGGCATACCCGGACTTCCCATTCTTCCTGCTTATTCCACACACACCTAAATTAGGCATCCTAATTGACTGTTTTCCCTATTACAACCTCATTAAGATTTCCCCATACAAATTACTTTACTAGCCAGGAATTAAACCCAGGCAGCTGTTCAGAAGGCAGCACTATCCCACCAACGCCCCCAAAACCACCAGGGTATGCCACGGGACTCCATCCAACACATGCACAGCTGCTGACGGCTTTAATGAAAACAATTCCTAAAACATGGTGTTTCTATTGTAAAATAAAAAGCAAAAATTTTACTTCCAACAATAAAACCAGGAGTCGTTTTAACGAGTAGAAGCTGTTCCAGCAAAATCCAGATCAGGGTTTCTTATTCCCCAAGTCAATACCAAGACCCCAGCTCAGGTGAGCACGGCTATCCAGGTCAGGTTTTCCTCTTTGTTATCCTCCATGATTCACCCAGCTAAGAGGGAATCCTCAACCTGTCTGAGGCCAGCCCACAGACTTCCCTAGGTAACGCTGCAATAGCCAGGGATAAATCCAGCGCTGGATCTTCCCACCCAGCAGGAACGGGTTCTGCATGGCAGGAGCCTTGAGAAATGGGCTTCTTCAAGCAGGTTGCTCAGCAGCGTTGTACAAGCCCCTGGGTCCTAAACAGCCTTGAAACACTGCAGAACAACATGCTAGAAAGAACTGTCCCTGAATCCATGGGCACATCAGGAGCTCGGATGCTGCAACGATGAAGGCTAAGGCGCCAGCCAAGTTTCGAGACGTAATAGCAGAAATGCCAGGACACTGGGGCTGGGAGTGAGGCAAGGTGGCTCTGGCTCTCTCACCCACCTGTGCATGTCCTTGCACATGTCTTTCTGCTCTGTCCCATGCTCCTGGCCTCTTCTGGAGAAGCACGCCCTGCCCTCAACTCCTATTCATTCAGTGGGAGAAACATGGTGCTAGGCACTGGGCACTCAGGCTCTCCCACACCCACCACATCTCCTGATGCAGTGCATGTTACCTAGCTCCAGTGGGGTCAGCTGGCTGCGCAGCTGCTGTCAGCACCGATGCAGGTATCCTCATTACTGCAGCAACCGCAGCCAATGAGCAGGTCCTGGCTAAAGCCCCAGGGTGTTGCTAATTACAGATTCTGTGCTAGCCACCTTTATTTATGGAGATGCTTCCCCCGACTCCCCATCTGCTGAGCTGGAAGTTTGGGTTCCCTTCCTGCTGGGATTCACCCCCAGCCCGCCTGGCAGTGAGACTGCACCACCAAGGTACACAAGCTCCTTTTGATTTGTGTCCCCCATTTTTTTTTTTTTTGTTGCCTCTTCAAAGCATGGGAATGCAACTGGTATCAACAGCACTGAGGCATGAACAGGAAGAGGTTAGTCCTGAGGTTGGTTGGGAAATTTAGAGTTAAGGTCCTTGCAGCAGAGACACTGCTTCCCACATGGGTATTACCAAGAATCAGACTTCTGCCCCAACTCAACTCAGGGGCTTTGGTTTGCAACAGGACCAGCCTGGAGCCCACATGATGGCACAACATACTGTTGGATCTGACACCATGCATGCCTCTCTAAGCACAAGGGAGATGTAGCTATATCAGGTCATCAAGCAGACCAGCTGGTCATATGGCCCACTTGCTGTGCAATCAGATCTAGGAAGTACTTGTGCAGTGGGCACAGTTAAGGTTACCATAGGAACCTTTACTATGAATTTCCGGATTTCACCACATGTAGTAATCTCTGCCTTGATGCTGCATCCAAATAGGATTGTTGTACCCAGCTAAAAGCCCTAAATCCTGCCCCTAGGTTCCCTGTGCCACTGCAGTGTGGCTTGTCTCAAGTCAGAAAAACTCAGCTCTGCCCCATACTGAACAACAAAAGAGATTAGGAGATAGAGCTTGTCAAGCCAAGTCTGCAGCAGAGAACGTAGTTTTGCAGCTGAATTCTGCATAGGGAATTCCACCCCAGACCTGCCCTGTGTTAACACAAAGCATCACACACGGGCCGCCCCGGGGAGGCCTGGGGTAGGACTATCCTGGTGAGCCCCATCTCACGAAGCAACCACCTCCACCTGTTCTAAGTGGCAGGATGAATCTCTTACTCCAGGAATTTAATTTCCCTTCCCTTTCAGGTGCTCTGGATTTTGCAACAGCGAGACAATCCACCACAAAATGAACCTATTTGAAGGTGATGGGGAAACTGTGACTGCTGGAGACTGCATTCGCCCCGGGCAGCTCCAACTTCACCAGAACTTCCCCACTCCTGGGGATACTGCAGACTGGCCGGGGTGTGGTCCAAGCACCTCCCTACCCCCATCCCATAAGCAGAACACCCCTGGTTTTGTACTCACATCATCGTCTTGGACGCTGAGGGGAATATCCAGCATGCACATCTGCACAGGCTGCATCAGCGCCTTCTGCACATTGAACAAAGGTTTTGCCTCCATCTTCCCAAGGATGGAGGGATTGTGCTCGCTCATATGCTCTTTCTTTCTTCCCAGTTCCTAGACTAAGACTAAGTCTAACCCAGGCAACGAAGCAGATAGGAGATCTCCCTTCTTTCAGTTTTGCCAGCGCATCTTGCCAACAGCTGCTGCTTCTGCTGCACTAAGAGGGCTTATTTCCTTCCTTGCAAATCAAAGAGTCGAGGAGCTGTACTGAGGCTTTGTGTCCGTGTCTGTAGCCAGTGATGTTCTTGAGATTTGAGAAACAGTCCTTTTCTGCAGGCGTGCCACGGCATGCTCCTTTCCTCCAACCTCCCCTCCTTTCGCTGACTCGGTGTGATCTACGCTGCTAGCTCCTACTGTCGCCTCGTACCGGCACGGGGTTTCCAGCCTCATCTACATGCATGGCACTCACAAACCCTGTGCATTGTCTCAAAAGACACAACAGGTCCTGCCTGCTGTTGATTTCTGATTACGATCAAACTGTGCCTGCAGCAGCTACAGCATTTCCCCGTGGCGGTCGAGGCAAACGAGCAAGCGGAGCTGGGTGTGTGAAGGTGATCTAAGCTGGAGCCTCCCCTTCTTCTCTTCCATCCCTTCCTTTTATTGTTTAAGACACCGTTTCAAACCAGTGCCTCCCCATGCTCACAGGACCACCATGAGGCTGAAATAATTTATGCCCAGTGAGTGCTCAGGGATCCAGTGGTGATGGAATAGCAACAAGCTGACAGGCCATCAGTTCTGCATAGAAAGCTTTATCCCAAGGGCCAGGTGCTACCAAGTATGGGGCTCCCTCCCTGGCTGTGGAGTCTGCTGTACTCGGATGGGGCTGAAACAGAGGCAGCACAAGACCCAGGAGGGTTTGAGGCATGGAGACTCAACTCAGCAGTGACAGGATGGAGTCAGTGGCAACCACCCCACATCAGGCCATAGAGAGTTCAATGCCTTTGTGAATATGCTCTCTCCAGGGGCAAGTTCCTGTCCAGCAAAGCTCATCTCTAGGGCTCTTCTGCTTACCCCCATCAGAAGCACAACTCATGGAGGTGACCATGAGCGACTGCACCAGCCTGCAGCCTTGAAATCCAGATGGAACAAGGGTGCTGGTTACTATATGGATTCATCACAGATTGAGGTGATTGAGCACCTCTCCCCGATTCTTGGGTACCTTAGGTGGCTGCAAGTGGCAGGAACTGGCCAGAAAGGTGGCGGCTGGACAGGCTGTTCCCCCAGACAGCCTTCACCCTGCTCCCCACACTCCCTGCCCCTCCCGCCATGCACAGCTCAGCAACTGGCCCTGCAGCAGGCAGCATCCTCTCCAAGACTGCAAGCCCACTCAGTGCCAGTGCCAAGTCCCCTGGCTGGCTCTCTTGTCCTTATCTGCACCAGTTACATGCAGTGGAAGTGACTGAAACCTCCCTGGCCAGAGAAAGAGACAGAGCAGGGAGAGGACCACCAGTGGGTGCGGGAAGACCACCAGTCCAGCACCTTGACTCCGTGCCAAGCTGTTCAAAGAAGAACAATTAACTCAACCTTCACCCGAGGGAGATGTGGAACAGAGGCCCAGGGAAGCCACTTCAGGGAAGGGGTGGGGGATCCTTTGATGGCAAACAGCAAGTAGGCTCCATTGATGAGGCAGCCCTGATACTCTGTGCCTGCAGCACAGGCCTGTGAGGGGGTGTGAATCTCCCATCATTTGCAAGGCAGCAGCTGTGCCCCTGCTGCTCCAAATCCACCCAGCTGGCTGTGGGCTTCAGCCCAGCTTAGAGTCACAAATGAAGATTACATGCACGGCTCCAGAAGAGACCTCCTGGGGGTTCTCATTCCTCCAACATGAGGTAACTGGGCCTCTGCAAGCATGGCTCGGTGTCCAGCCACGGAGCCGTCCCTGCTCCCTTCCTGACACATGAGCCACAGGAGACGTCCAGGCCCTTGCAAATGGACAAGGCAGGTACAGAGCTCCACCACGGTAAACAGGCCAGGTGCACGTCATGGCAGAAAGGACACAAAGGTTTCTAGCCAGCAGAGGCTGGGTGGGATAGCCTCCCAGGAGGTGCGCTGAAGGCAACTCCAACACAGAGCTTGAGCACGCTACATGTCCCAATGGCCCAGCCCAGGAAAGTCAGGACTGTGCTCCATGAGTCTGGTGGTAGGATCCCTTCTAGTCCTGCCCCTCTAGGCTGGGGCAATTCCAGCAGGAAGCTAAGCTGTGCCAGGCACGGCTGTATGCCCATCTACAGCAGAGCATCACAAACGATGGCGCAGCTGGGGGGACCAAGAGCCAGAGCCTGCTCTTGGTTACTTGCAAAGAAACCCAGAGCGACTCCGCTATGTCACTGCGCCCAACTTGCTTGTTCCGTGCCTGAGCTAAGGGGAGAGAGTGGGGTTTAATGTCACACCTAGGGCCTGTGCTCAGTGGAGTCTGGGTCTGTGCCAGGCCCTCCCCGTTAAGCCTCCGCAGGGCCAGTGTCTGCTGCAATCAAAGTCAGGAGACGTGGCCTTCCCAGCTCCTAGGATGGACCCAGGTAGGGATGCACAGAGCTGTACAGCAGGGTGAAACAGGCACCTCCTTGCTCAGCAGCTCAAGCCAGACTGGATTTCTCTTTATAGGACTGTTTAAGGGGGTCTTTGCTTCCCTTCCCCTCTGGTTAGAGATCAAGTTGCAGACTTGAGGAGCAGACGCCTGGGGCAGGGTGTTAGGCTCACCTCACAGGACCCAAGTTCAAACCCTGGCTCTGCTTCACTCCTACCCCACAAAGCCCATGCAAGCCAAGCACTTCCTCACCTGGCTGGGCCCCAACAAGCAGCCGTGCCCTAGTCCTGCCTGCACCCTTGCTGGTTAAATTCATTCTCCAAAAAGCTCCAGGGTCCCTCCTTTCTTTCACTCCTATTCTGGGTGTTTCTCAGACCTCCCAGGCAGGACCTCAGCAGGTCCCCCTCACTTGATGGCAGGGCTAACTGCTTCCTGGCTGTTCTCCCTAAGTCCCACTGACCTATTCCACCCTACAATAGCCAACAGGGGAGCATGGTGCAGCTCTCGGGCAACTTTTCAGGATCAAGTACATGGGCACAGCTCTGCTTCCCTATCGGGCCCTCCTGGATCTACAAGGAATCAGGGTGCTTAGCTGATGGCAGAAACAGCATCTGCAGAAGGAAAAGTGCTGCAGGGTCAAGCACCAAGATCCTTGAGGTGTTTGTCTACACGGCCTCTGTGCCATGCCATGAGCACAGGTGAGATGTGCTCCACCCAGTCACTCCAGCACCACACAGGCCAAGTGCCAGCTCCCTCACAGCATGACTCGGTGTGCATAGAGCCATGCCCAGGCTCCCAGGGTACATCTACACCATAACAGTAGCATGCCCCAGCAGGGAGCTCCCCTTTCCACCCCCCTCCCTCCCCAAAATCCCTTCTCCAACCTGCCCCTGATCACACATGCCAAGCCCAGAGCCTCCCTGGTGCATGTCTGGGCTTGGCACGTGCAAACGGCAGGAAAGACTGACCATACTCAAATGCATCCCTCCTGGACATGCTGGTGCTGCACTGCAGATGTACTCATGGCCTCAGATGAGCCTTTTGGAACAGGCCTGGACACAGGCCAAGTCACCCTAGTCCCTGGGCTACAATGGGCACCTTGGCTTGAGGAAGTATCAATATGCTCTAAGTAGAGCAACAGTGCCCAAAAACTCTCAGTTCTTTCCTCCTGCACTTCCAGCCTCTGCTCTTTCCCATGGGAACCGAGATGGAGCCATTAAGCAAGTGTCAATCTGGAAAGAAAAAGAGTCCTGTCTGCTGGCTGGATGCATCTGACCAACTTTTCCCCAGCCCCAGATGGCTGCAGAAAGGGAGATACGTCAGAGGGTATCACCTCTGAGCCAGCATGTTACTGGCAAAGGGCCAGCCTCTGCTCCAGGGCTCCATGACCTCCTGGCCAAGCAGCCATAAAGATGCCAGAGAGGAAATAACCTCCCTGGAAAAAGTCAGCAGTCACGCAAGAGAGCTGGAAAGGAAAACACAATGTCAAGAGCAAAAGTCCCCAGGACAAGGCCAAGGGGGAGGCTGCTCCCAAATAAAACAGAAGAGCTTGGAGCAGGAGACCCAGGGACCCTGTGGCCACTGGTGTGGTGGAAAGGGACTTGAAGGGGAGGGGTCTCTTCTGCCAGGGAGACGCCAGGCAAGCCCAGCAATGGGACTCTCAGCCATTTTTCATGCACTTTCCCATCCTGGCACTGTGATCCTGTGGCACTCCCTGGTGTCCAGCTCCTTGCCACTGGACAGTAGCTGGCAATTCCTGCCCATGACAGATTCCCACCCTCATGCCAACCCAGTGTCCCTGAGAGCTCCTTAAATCAGGGCCCTGGGAGTCAACAGCAGAGTGACAGGACTATAAGTTTACATGAGCCTACCTATGGGACTGAGGAGCTCAGCATGCACAGGGGTCAGAGTCAAATCTGAAGCGGATTCTTTGGAGAACTATGGTATGGCTTAAAGCAGGCATCACCATCTGGATCACACCAGCCCCAGCCATGTACCAAACACAAAGTGTTACCCTTACAAGCCTCAGTGCTCACAGAGGGGCAAGGGACCTCCTTAAGGCATAATGCCTTGCAGAAACAGAACAGCTCTGCACCCCTCCCAAGGCAGAACAGTCACCACCTCCTACAATTTGCAAGGAATATGGGTTTGGGTTGTCAGCTTTGTAGAGGATGTCCTAGTAGATCCAGACAGAGCGTAACCAAGCGACTGCACCGTGATGATTACACTGCTCCAGTTCAATTTGGAGCACCAAAATGAGACTTGTAAACAAGAAGGGCCTTAAGCTTTGCCCTTAAGAATTTGGCCACCAGTGCAGCCATGAGGATGTGAACCTTTAGCATAGACACTGTTTGCAAAGACATGGCACAGATGTACCAGGTGGCCAAGATGTCCCAACTGGACAAGGGCTCACTCAAGTTGGCTTCTCAGGAAAGTCTGGCCTGCAGAAGGCTCTCACTATCTAGCCCCAGCAAAAATACAACATCAAAGGCTTCCATAAAGTTAAAGAAATCTCTCCAAGACAATGGAAGGCTTGTTTTTCAAAGGAAACTGCAGCTCCCACTTTTGTCTAAGACTCAAACATGGCAGCATCCTGCCTGGACAGGAGCATGTGCCACGGATGAGAAAACGCAGAACTGACCTGGTTGTTTTCACTGTCCAAAGCGGATGGCAATGTGGCAAGGAAGTGAAGCAGCGTGATGAATGAAGAGACTTCATCCCCCTCGTACACACCAGTAATGCGGAGGGGGGAACTCTGAACCTGGTGGCATAGCTAAA